CCATCCGGTTCACCCGGCAGCGTAGGAAACGATATGAATTCCATACAGTTCAAAACACAATTACGCATTATCTCGGAATTAGATGAATTTACGGCGGATATTTCATGTCTAGTGCTAAAGGACGTCGCCGATAAAATTCCAAATTCCAAAATGCCAGTGACGATGGTGACTGTACCAGTGCCACCCGGCATCACTCCGGCTGACCCACAATTCCAGCATTCAGATAGCATTGATCTTTTGATCGGAGCTGGTCTATTTTGGAGATTGATGTGTATCGGACAGTACAGAGTCAACCCAGGGAATCTTGTTTGGCAAAAAACGCACTTTGGTTGGATATTGGACGGTTATTTTTACAAGTCAAGTAACGGAGAGGAATCTATATAATCGTGCCACATGATGACAAACGCACGATTCAATCGCGTAACTCTGGGAAATCCAGGAGATTAGTTCTCGAACGGGAGCAAAATCCATGGGATGAGCAGAAGGTCACGCGCGACGAACTATGTACGATTCTCACGCAGGTGGAGACTTACTTAAACTCGCGTCCTCTCCACACTCTCTCGTACGATCCTACAGATCTCCTCCTCACCTCCTTGACTCCTGTTCACTTTCTTATTGGCGACATATTGCCAGTGCCCTCAGAACCCGATCTTACTAATATGAGCCAAAATAAGCTAAATATATTGCAACTCTTTCGGCAAGGCTGTCAACATTTGTGGAAGTGATAGCATCGGGAGTATGTTTATGGAGTACAGCAGCGAAACAAGTGGAAGTTGGATCCACCAGCGTCGGACAAATCAGAGGCTATGGTGCTGATCAACGACGACAATCTATTTCAGCTGTAGTGGCCCCTTTGGTGGAATCATTAACTGTATCAAGGATCTGACGGGATCATTAGGATGGTCTCACTTCGAACTGCTGACGACGTTCTTAACACCTAGCCAATCGAACGGGGAGATTTCTCTTTTTAACGTTAGTGACGCTTTTTATTTTTTGTTGTTTTGTTGTTTTGTTATTATTAGTTATTGTTCCCTTGGAATCGATCAAATTAATTTTTGCTACTATTTTTGGTTTTATAAAGTATAGCATATAATAAAATGCACCGATTTAGTGGTGTCAAAATTAATTAAAAACTTACATTATTAGTTATGATTAGATAAAGTTGTAATCGATAGATAACACACGAATATAAACGAAAAATATTAAAATGCATTATGAATTTTTAATTTTACGTTCAAGTCGTGTTATTTATCTTTAGTTGTATTTAGCTTTATTTATTTTTAATTTTATCTATATTTGTTTATACTTTTACTGTATACTTTTAATTTGACGTTTTGTATCAACAATATGTGAAATCGTTAGATAAAATTATTAACTACTATAACTCGCAAAAAAAAATAATTAATTACTTAAATAATTTTGACTTTGCTTTTTAGTAGTGAATATTAGTTCTCGATACTTGAAAAAATGTGTGGTGATTAGCGTATAAGTTGGCTTGTCCGAGGGCGGTGGAAACGTATAGCTCGCTGTAGTGCACGCGATTGGCTAAGTGTTAAGAGACCCGTAACCAGGATCTGTATTCTGTCAAACGCTAAGGAACCCGAAGATGTCACTCCCACATAGATTATTTAAGCATAATTACTGGACAATATTATATTTACATTTACAGTGTTCTACAAAGTAGACAACTACAGTGTTTTCTCTGTCTAAACTCTATATAAATTAGTTTCTTCGTCGGCACACAGGTGCAAACTATGTCAAAGCTGAGAGCAACTTAGATCGCAAACAGCAATATAACAGTCAGTTAAGCAAGTAGATTCACTCATTGGATATAATTCGATGTATGCATCTATCGATCTATTCCATGTTAATTAATGAAATTAAATGAAGCAAGGCGAATAGGGCTAAACGAATTAAAAATTTTGTGACAGAATAATCATTGTTCCTGTGCGCATTAAATATTTATGAAACGACATTTGCAAAATACCGTAAATGGTATAATGTAACGCAATTATATCATAAACACATCGTAGATTAATAAAAAATTGAGCTTTATGTATTTATTTTGCTTACGACTGATGTACTATTGTAGAACGTAGTGTTAATCGAACTGAGGTTGGTACAGAGATATCGATCGCATATCTTCGGACAGATCGCAAAACATTCATCTGATCGCGCTAATAGTGTCCGATAATGGATTTCAAAATACATTCAGATGTTTCCGTTAATTAAATACCTGACGTAGGTATGGCGATCTAATTAAATTGTAAATTTTGGATCGTATTAAAACGAAGGTATTAATCGAAACCATTAGACGACAGCCATCGTTCGATGCTTTGAGAGTTTGCCTCCAGCCAATTAATGCTGTTTTCGATCTCCTCGATCGCATTTCTCTTAGCATTTTCAGTTACTTTTAGGTCAACTTCTCTTAGAAAAAATTGTCTCGCCTGTAAAATGAGTACATTAAAATTTTTTATATATTATAATATTGCATAATTATAAGATTTTTTATTTACTTAGAAATATTAGAAATTAGGGTTACCGATGATTCTGTTCTACTCGATAAGTTTATTGATCGATAGATCCATTTATAATAAATAAATAAATTGAACTGGAAATGATTTTTATTTAACTTTTTCTTTTATTTAACAGTAATGTGCTATAACTAAGACAACTAAGTAGTTAATTTACAATTCCCAACCTTTGCACCTCATAACAACTCGTCAACTCAACTCTCGACTCCTCGCAACTCGACTTACGACTAACCCCTCTTTTTTTGAAAGTGCAAAAATTCTCATGAAAATTCCGCCGCTGCGACAGCAGCAGAGTAGTGTCGGACTCTTACCGACTAAAACTCCACGATGGTCTGCCTACGCGTGTGACAGGAGTGCCCCGGGATCTCTTGCGAATTACTGCCGAATTACTCCCCGCGTCCTCTTGATCGAGCCAGTCCTAAAATTTCCTAACTGATGAATTGGTGCTAGAGAAGGTCATTGCCCCTAGCACCATCCCCCCTGCTAATCCCGTTGGGGACGGCCGTCACGATTATCCCTGGACACTTCACCATTCAACTCTCAGGTAACGACAACTTTGTAAAAGCTGCCAAGTAACAGCTACCTGGTAATAATCCCCAGGCCCTTTAAACCTAACGACACATAGGCCTTTTCGCAACATTGTTTATGGCTCACCCGATGCAAGGGTGGGGGTGTCACGTCCCGCGCTGAGCACGCGCCGTAACGTAGACTAAAACTACCAATAGCGCGAGTGAGCGTTCCAATTTAAAATTTAAATAAATTTTAACAATTTGTATAGAAACCAAAGCCTCACAATCCCCACGGAATAACCCGTCACATAACGACCCCTCCACGGTAGACCTAAATATAAATAAAACTAGCGACATAGAAGAAGAGAGATAATTCCTTAGTTCAGAGTAGTTAATTCCTCAGTTCTGTGTGATTAGTTCCCAGTTCTTGTTAGTCTTATTAATCGACGTGTTTGCATTTGTCAACTTGTAAATTATTGAAAATCTATCAAATTAAAATCTCGTAATTAATAAGAGTGAAAACGTATTGCGAACGATTGTAACTTCGAGTATTTGAAATTTCAACGACAATTCTGTTAGTCTTATTAATCGACGTGTTTGCATTTGTCAACTTGTAAATTATTGAAAATCTATCAAATTAAAATCTCGTAATTAATAAGAGTGAAAACGTATTGCGAACGATTGTAACTTCGAGTATTTGAAATTTCAACGACAATTCTGTCAATATCCAATTAGAATACGAGTAAACATTTTTTTTTTGTGAAGAATATTTGTTTAATAATATAATAGGATTAAGCGAACATTTATTTTCACCAACTTTAATTCTCTCCCGTGCCAGTGCTCCTGCGCGTAGCAGGATAGCCGAAACGTGGAGTTTAATTGCCAATCGCATTAAATAAGAGACAACACTACAATTTAATTTAAATTCAAAAATTAACGGCAACACAACCAAAACGAGCCAAACAAAACGTAACAGGGTAAATATTTCTTAGGCCATTTGTCCACGCTACTACATAGTATTAACCATTATCCTTGTAAGTATCCAGACACTTGATTCACTTTTACAAATAATAGCTGAATTATACGCGTTTGTTAGGAGAAGGTAAAATTACCTCTTGTAGCTTTTGATGATCTTTAAACAAAGATACGATTGCGCAGATGATATTCCCAAAAGTGTACTCGTTTGTTTCATATTTTCTAAGTAGAGCTTCCCATCGAGATCTGAAAAAAGATTAGTATTTGTTGCGATGGCTTAGATCGTGAAAATTGTACAAAAGATGTCTGAGTATTTGAAAGAACGTCGATACCGTACAAAATTCCAGGCGACGTCCAATCCCACGGGATTCGCGGCGATCTTGATCAACAGCTCTGCAAAGTCTTGCTTGCGAATGAATGTCTCGTCTGTTGCTCGCTCTAAATATCTGAAGTCAAACGGACATGGAAAGAATTCCCGAAGAGATAAATCGCAATTTGGGAAATTGTCCAATATTTTATAGTTATGATTTGATAAGTTTAGGAACTTTGTACACGAAGTAGCTCAAAATTTGAAAACTTCGAAATTCGAGAATTACTAAGATTTGAAAATTCTTAAAATCGGTCATTCTGAGATTTGGAAATTCCGAAAATTGGGGATATCAAGATTTGAAGGTCCCGGGAATCGAACATTGTTAAATTAATCCCGAAAAGTGATATTCCGAATTCCAAGATTTGACAAACTAAAATTTGTAAACGCGGCAAGTCTATAATTATTTAATAGACAATAGAAAATTAAAAAATTTGAGATTTCCATCGAAATCGGAAATTTTTTAATTTGGAAATTCCGCAAATTGATATCACGGATTCTATCAGTTGATGATTACAAAATGCGTAAAGATAGACTCGAATTGCACTTCTTCGGGCACGTGAGCTCAATTCCTCTTTTCGCGTCTCCATCTTACATTCGCCTATAAATTTATATTCCCCCTTGGTGGAACGCTATAAATCCGACGCGACTTCGACAAATTGGACAGCGACACGCGAGAAGATAACAGAGAGCTGTGAGAGCGTCGAAGGAGCGCGTTTGTTGGCAATTAGCTCGGGAATGAATCGCGGTCTGACGAACCGATTAAGAATATCTTTGTCCGCAACTCCAGTCATCCCGATCATCAGACGTTCTCTTTCCTGTGCGTCGTTCTCCGTCTCGAGTAGTCGCGACATTTTCTCAAATATCGATCCGACGTCGGCCGACATCGTAACGAGGCCTATCGTACGCCGTCATTATCGTGAATAACAAAAGGTACACACACGGAGAATGGAAAATATTTGCCAAGTTTCTTCCCCTTACCGAACGAATAGACGATAGACCGAATATCGGCTGGTAACATTTGCTCGCTACCATCGCCGCTCTTCTCCAACAGAAATTTCCGCAGCCTCCTTCCGGCTGTCTCGAGGCAGTGTTCGTGGCCTACGCTGCAAGCTGCGTTCAATATCAAGACGCGAAATTCTCTTGAAACGAACAGAAACAAGACTTTTCTTAATGGATACTCGCTTTGGAAAGCATCGGTGATGAGAGAAAAGAAGAGGAAAATGTAACAGAAGACGGAGATTTTCATGGATTTTTACACAATTCGAACGACTTTTTCGTTTATTTATTTGGAAAGATTAATTATTTAGAAAGCAATTGTAAACGTAGGAGAATAATTTAATTTTTAAAGTAAATAGAATTTAGAGAAGATCTGAAGAAGATTTATTTCTTTGAAACTACCTTAACCCTGTACTACTGGAATAAGAATTAAAGCTTAAGAATGGGATTTACAAGGATAAAAAACATAATTTTGTTAACAATCACCAAAGTTGTCTTACATATTTCGATTAAAATAATACATATTTTTCTTATTACATAATTTTGAACTAACCTGTCTTTAAATGAATCTTTCCGATGAATATGCCATCCTATTTGACGATAAATTCTGTTGATCAGATTCCTCGCATACGACTGGGAATTCGTATAAAAAGAATATAACAAAGAAGAAGAAGAAGAAATACTATGACAATTATAATTTTCTAATACTTGTATTACTTGAAAACGCGGAAGTATGTGGGTTCTATCAAGAAGTCTGTTCATTTGTCCGAACCATCTCATAGCCACGACCCATGGTTGATAATCGTCTTCGTTTATGAGATAAGAAGTCAGGTTCATAGCTATAGAATAGTTCAAGTCAGTTTCCGCTAGAAGAAAAGCGTCGTGCAACAAGTCCGCTCTGTTCATTGCGCTTAACATCTACGACAGTTCCAACGGGAAAACTATTTAGATGACAAGCAAGGAACTTAAATAACGATATAAAGTAACCATGATATATACCGAATGGTTGTAGAATAATAAATTGCTGAAAACGTTCCAAGCATCTTCCGTGTAATTCACGATGTAATAGCCGATCGAATCATGATTCAGTTTGATCCAATCCACTGACTTGTCCAGCGACAATTCCACTGTAATTTACATTGTGTGTTAAAGAACTGAGAGCAGAGGTTTGGTTACGTGCGCTATTATTACCGCAAGAATAATTCGCGAGGAACCAATCCAGCTTGATATCATTTTTCCTGCTTGTTACGTATCTAATCGGAATTGTCCAACTTCCGTCGCTAAAAATGAATATGACATTTATAAATGGCGAGTTAAAAATAATAGTAGCACTAGCATAATACGTATAACAGTTATACGAGACATTTCTTGTATAGCTTAAGATTTCGAGAATTTGAATTTAGTCATGTATTTCAATAATATTACTTTTATGACGTTTTTCTCATTTCGTTTTCTACTTCGTCCTATTTATTTCACATTACTTTAGTATTTTGTATCCCCCTCTCTCTTTTCCTCTCTTCAAGATCTCCTTTTATTCTCTATACGTACTCGATCGTTTCACTGAATCGTGTACTCGTCGCGAAGCGTCGCTGGGATAGTTGAAAGCCTGCATTGTCTCGACGGACGTTGATCACCGGAAATCCGGGGAACCTCATCCATCGACCGACGAAATCGACGACATCGATGGCGGCTTGTGTAGTGTTCTCCAGGATATCGAATAGCTCGCGGGACTCCGCGTTACGAAACTGGTACCTTCTCAGATACTTTCTGACAGCAGAAATAAACTTGGAATTGCCAACTGCGTCCTCGAGCATCCTAATCACCGACGCCGCCTAGCATTCAATCAACCATTGCTGTACTTCTTTCGCCTTCCCTCTGTGACACTTTTTGACAATTCTCGAAAATATAAGAATTAATTCTCTATACAAATTTAACCCGAATCAATATATCTCAAACTTTCGTATTACGTGTATTACATTCGTTTGATGCTTAAAGGTACGCGAGTGAAATTTCATTTTATTTCTATCCACAGGAAATTCAAAGTATTTCGAATTCTTATTTCGTACCGAAGGGTTGTATTTTCTATCGTTTGATTTTATCGATTTCTAAAATAGAGAAAAGTGTACTATGGCGAAATTTCACTCATGATACTGTTGGAAATGTTAATTTGACTATACCTACAAAATTGAACGTACTTTTTGATATGAAATTCGATCGAACATTTCTTCTATTTCATTCAAATCTTCGATTCGTTTTACAATTGGGCGAGTACGTAGTTTGATATCGTGCTTCATAGAAACGTATTTCGTGTATAATGGGAAGGAATCCATCTGATGTAAAAGAAAAGGATGGAAGTTAAGGGAAAAATTGGAATCATTTAATATAAAATTACTGATCGTAGATTTGGAAGTGCACGACCAGCTTCCAGTCGGGGAACAAAGAATCAACTGCTACGTGCTCCATGTAAGTGGCGAAACCTTCGTTCAACCAAAGATCGTCCCACCATTTCATGGTGACCAGATTGCCGAACCACATGTGTGCCAATTCATGGGCCACCGTCAAGCTGACGCTTCTCATATTGTGGCAAGAACTGTCGTTCTCGCTATGAAGAAGCTCTGTTTCACGGAATGTGATCAGGCCCCAGTTTTCCATGGCGCCTGCTGAGAAATCGGGTATGGCGACTAGATCTGATCGATGAAACACATTTTCTTAGTCATCAAAGACATAATTTTGTTTACAATAATTATATATTAATTCTATGAATACTACAGCTTTAAGTATTAAATTGTGTACTAAGTTTATTTGATCAAAGAAAACTCGATTTTTTATAACAAAACTTTCGATTAAAAGAAAGATTTCCAAATATAGAAACAATTAATATTCTGATGTCAATCATAAAGTAAATATATTTCAATAATTTACGCTTAATAGAATTAAAAAAGGAGATTATTAAATTCAGGTTTAGATTAAATTTTTTAATTACCTATTTTTGGTAGCGGATAGTCGATTTGAAACATCTCTAGATAATACTTCATCGCTCTAATTGTGACATTTAAGGCGAATACTGCTTTTTGCTTGAACATAGATCTTACACAGACAGCAACTGGTATTTTACTTCCGTTCAGAAGATCCATGTTAGATCCTAAACACTCGAAGTCACTGACAAGGAAAGCAACGAAATAAGTGGACATCGGTGGCGTAGGCTCGAAGTATGCGATCGTTTTGTCGCTATCACTTTTCATCGTCTCCATTTTCTAGGGAAAATAATATTATTGTATATCTTTAATGATTCGTAATTCGTGTATTAACTTACTACAATTGGCATATTGGATTGTGCGTGATATAAAAACTTCTTTGAGTAGACCAGACGAATAATAAAAATGGACTTGAAGTTTGGTTCGTCAAAACAAGGAAAAGCTGTTCGGGCGTAGAATGGTTCGAATTGGGACACTGCTAATTTTCTGCATAATAAATAATACGAGTTGATCATCATATAGACGATCATAATTCCTTGACATTAAAATATACATGATATTTACCGAACAGATTTATTTTCTTCTACGTAGGTGCTCAAATAGAATCCACTCATTTTTCCTTTCAAACTACCACTAAAATTCATTTTCAAGAAGTATTCTCCTAAAGAGATATTTCTATAAGGCTTGATAACCAACATCTCACGTCTTTTTACATTATAGATGTACTGTATTCGTACTTCCGTTTGAGATTTTTCTGTATATAATTTGGTTGACGATATGGTTAGATCCTTCGAGTGTAAAACGATATAACTTCGGTCCTTCGAAAAATTGTAATGATACAATATTTTTAAATATTTTGTACGCTTATACATATTTGTATAATTATTCTTACATTTCAATAATGGAAACTAACTTTTAGTAATTTGAGATCGATGCGAACGCTACCGTGAAATTCGTCCTTTTTAAAGTCAGTCGAAATCGCAATCACATATTTTCTGGGAACTACATCCTCTGGGAGGCGTTTCTCGATCTCCATAGATTCATTGTAATATGGAGTTAAATTATCCGGAGGAACCTCGCCGTTGATCACACGAGAATCTTTCGTCTTCATTAAGACTATTGTAATTAAGATAAATCGCCAGGCGGTCATTTTACTTCCAGAACAAGGATTCCTTGTTCCAGACACCGGCTTCCTTATCTTGTCAGGCTACAGAGCTTAAGTTGAGAAACGAGTCCGTTCTGTATATCAAAGTTTCAACTAAATGCAAACCTCTTAACCTGTCCTCCATAAAGCGAAATCTAATTAAAAACATGTAACGTTGAGTATTCTTTAATTAAGGAAAACTAGATGATTTATAGCTATGGAGATTGGTTAAGCTTCTTCGTGTCAAGAAAGAAACATTGCTCACTTCACTTTGTGTTTTCAAATCATTTTATTGTAAGAGAATTATATTATATAAAAATTGTGAATTTATTTCAAAGATGTCGTTGAATTTGAATTAATTTTAAAAAGTAGATGATACTGTTTTTTCAATAGCATTGCATAAGTTTGTAGATAAAGTATTTTTCCAATTAATATGTAGGAACGATTCTGTAATTTATATTGGAACAATCCGGAATCTTTCTGTACGCTATACTATACTAAAGTGAAAGTATCAGAAGAGAGTGAGTGTGAAGAGACTACGAAGTAGTGCACCAATGAGAGTGTCCATAGCATTTTATAGACAGAGAAAATGTGTCAGGCAAGAACAGGACGAAAGAAGTGAAGACTCTGGAGAGGGAAATATATAATTCTTACATAACCTTGGGAACCAGTTACTCCACAGTGAATTACCGTGCGTTGCATTTGACTGTCTGTAAGTGTCTACTCCATACATACTAAAAACAAAATTATTAATAGAGATATTGCACTCATCAAATTTTCTAAAAATTGTATAAAATGTTTTAATTAAATCAGCAATTATTTAAACTAATTTAAATTAGAATAATACCTTTAAACCGATCGTGTGATTTTATAAAAATTACATTGTATTTATTTGTAACTATATTTCACAGATTTAGAATGATGGCGAGTTATAAGCTAGTATATTTTAACGTAATGGGACTCGGAGAACCCATCAGATTTCTTCTCAGCTACGGGGGCGTTGAATTCCAGGATATTCGCATAAACTATTCGTCGGAAGAGTGGTCCAACATGAAGTCAAGTATACCTTTTTTTACCTTATTTCCATATGAATTTCACGATCTCCAACTATATTTTAATGTTTTTTCAGCGACCCCGTTCGGTCAGCTGCCCACGTTGGAAATCAACGGCAAAGTTTACTCGCAAACATTACCTATTTGCCGCTACCTGGCCAAACAGTTTAATCTGCTTGGCAAAACTGATTTGGATACGTTGCAGATCGACGCGATCGCTAGCGCTCTTTACGATTTCAGATGGCGTAAATATTGATTTCGTACCCATGAATAAATTGATTTCCTTTCCAAGAATATGCTGCTGTGAATAACATTCAATCTTGTTATATGATCCATAAGTTTCCCTTTTTCTTTTCAGTGACAATATCGTCTTATTATAGAGAGTCTAATCCAGTTTTGAAAGCCAAAAAGAAAATCGACGTAATGTCAAGAGTGTTTCCGTTTTACCTGAATAAACTGGAAGATCTGGCAAAGAATAACGGCGGATATTTGCATGGCAATCAGGTAAGCGTGTTTAATTCAACAGTATACGCAGAATAAGAAATCAATTGATTTATATTTCTCATATCTTTTAGTTGAGCTATGCCGATCTGTTCTTCGTCGGTATATCAGATTCCTTAAATACGGCTTATGAATCTGATATAACCAAAGATAACCCGCATTTGAAGTCTCTGAAGGAAAAGGTTCTGGCGATTCCGAATATAAAAGCCTGGGTGGAGAAGAGACCAAAGTTGGAGTTTTAATGATAGATACGTGTTGTTGAAGTTTGTACGACGAATGGTGTAAAATTGTGCATGTGTATCCTACAAATACAGTAACATTAAAATTCAGTCATTAGAATTGCATTTGTTGCATAAGACTTAATTTGAATGTGGCGGTATTACATATGATCAGTTAACTTACCGGCTGTTGTTTACGTCCCAATGAAATAACATAAAAACGATCCTTAAAGAACATAGCCCGATACGATTAACCGAAGGTACATTTAAAATGCAAATTGGACAGGTATTGAAATTGACAACTGCTTCCAAATTTGGGAGCGTTCAAAGTTATCTTCTCGGAAGACTAACAAGTGGCCTACTAACCTAGTTCGACAAATCGATCGATGCGCCCGTTTTCCAATGATTTCCCCTGTGTTAAAACTGTTTCTCGGGTAATAAAATCGAATAGATTGATTGGATTAGATATAGCGGCGTTGTAAACGTGAAATTTTCGTCGATTTAGGTGGAAGACCGTCGATTGACCAGCCCGGTCAGTGGCGCCTCCACTCAGTGAACGGGTGGCGGCATCTGGTGATGGCGCGACCAATCTGTGCTTTGAAATGATTGGTGCGCGTGGAGGACTGCGCGTCCGTCTCCCGCCGGCCGTCAATGTGCGTGCCGCGGAGTGCCAGACTGACAGACATCTTGTTAGTAGAATTTAGCGACGTGGTGCTATCGGCCGTGGGTGTCGGTGTCACGGTTCCGCGTCGCGGTGCTCGTCATTACGGTGTTGTCGCCGTCGTTGTCGTCGTCGTTGTGGTCGTTGTCGTCATCATCATCGCCTTCGTCGTCTGCTACGTCGTGGCCGTTGCTGTTGTATTTTTTTTATCGTGCTGGTTCTTTCTGTGTTCGCGCCGTCGATCGTTGTCGCTGTCCTCCGCCTCGCTGTCGTGGTCGCTGTCGCCGCTGTCGCCCTCGCTTAGTAGTCTCGGTACTCTTGTCTCTGACGGTTGTCGTTCACTCGGAGACTCTGTTGTGCTACTCGTGTGGTGGTACCGCGGTTGCGAGACCCCGTTGGTGCGGGCCGTGCAGCTCGCGTGGTCCAGCGATCCAGTTACTCGCCCCGCAAAAGGC